TGAGTTGCCCCCTAGGTACCTTACGATCAAGTCCACCGACGGCGTGCCAGCTGAGTGGAAGGCGGTTAATCACACAGTCATTTTTAAATACGCATACAATGTTTGGTACATTACTTAGAAATGTTGAAATTATCTTCTACATTTATAAGTCTTCTTGTCTGGAGTTTCGTGCATAACGTTCCCCGCGATGCCTGTAAACACAACGTCTCCCATCCGTAACGACTGCATATCCAAGTAAATATGCAAACCAGATGTCCGTAGGTATGCATGGTTTTGTTCTGTTCAAATATAATTCCGCCCCGGAAAGAAATATCAGAATTTAATACATAAAATTGCAGTTAAAATGTCCCGACCCTGTCGTGAACAGTTCCGGGTGACAGGAACAAGTGTTTGGGTGTGTTTATGAGCGCTGTTCCTGTATATTGTTCGTGTGCAATATGAACAACAAAGAAAACTATAGGCTCCTCCAATGCAACAAATGTTGGTTGTAAAAGTTCCGCTGTACTGAGTGAGTGAGTGTACGCCGCTTTTAACAGTATTCCAGCTATATCGCTTCGTGTGAGCTGAATGTGGGAGGAAAGCCCGAAGTGATGCGGGTCTAAGACGTAAAAAACTTCGGTGAAACCAACGAGCACGGTTATGGTGCTGACAAACCTAGAATCAATATCAGGTCGATCTGGGATTCGAACCCACAATCATAGGTTTCTGGCGTGCCAAAGGGACGCAAATCTGTACAGCAAATCGCGACGCCTTAGGCGACTGGGCCCCCCGTGCCCCCAGTTCCGCTGTAACTTATACACGCATGGAACCAAATTTTGTTTACAGGTAGAGCAAATATCAGTTATATAACGACTGCATATTAAAGTAAATATGCAAACCAGCTGTCGGTAGAGCAAGTCTTCTCAGGTCGCCCCGTATAGCATGCGTGACACAAATACCTGCCGATTCGTGACACAACCAAACAATATAAGCAATAAACACAACCGTCACCATTGTAACTGTCGACTATCGCGCTCGTTCGCATGACCAATCTCGTGATATGTAACTAACAAGAGCCTTCAACAGATCGTAGTTGAAACCCGAGACGGTCGTGGGGAGATTTATTGTGTACAGACCTATATTCCCAGTATCTCAATGCAGCTGCATGTAACAGATCGTTGTGGAAGTCTGAAGATAGGACCCACGTATATACCTTTATTGTGTCCGAATATATTACTCAAAGACTGTGTGCATTCTTTGAAATAGCCCAAAACAATATTGCGTCAAGACATGTTAAATGAACAAAAGTCCGTTGCCATGTGCCACACAAAGTAAACAAACACCATGTGACCAATAATCAGTCGAATTCCCCATCAAAATGAGAGTATCTGACCAAAACTGAAACGTCCAAAAATCACGAAATTAAATTCAGTGTCCAAAGAACAATTCTCAGTTGCGCGTATGTGATCCACGTGATGCGATCACACACTAGCTCCCAATAAGTGTCTGGCAAGGAAAGATTGTACAACGGTCAGCATTGCCGAGTTCCTGTGGAGTTGTGAGAAGGACTGGGCGTCATGAGAGGGCGATCTGCAGCTCTTCTAACATGTGTTCGATAGAGTTGACCGGGTTGGTCACTCCATGCGGACAATAGTCTCCTGCTCTAGGTGGGCATCAACGACCCTGGCACGATGAGGTCGTGCTTTATTGTCTAAGAGGTTGAAGTCCGATCAATTGCACCAGCATGCGATCTCACAAACCCATCCAGAATGGCATCCCAGTAGCGCACACCCGTCATCGTGTCCCGCTGTAGGGCATGGAGATGGGTTCATCCAGCTCTACTGATCCCATCATGGTTGAGCCCCCTCCATAGGAGTCATGTTCTGCTACGTTGAAATCCTGAAATGTCATTGTCTACGTCACATTCGGGCACGACGACCGCTGAAGTCTAGACAGTATACAGGTACATCAGTAACAAGTTGATTACACACTGTAGGGGTAGAAACGTTAACGCCACTGGCGTTCCGCAGGTCATTTCTGAGTTTGGTGTCAGTCACGAAGTGGTTGACTAGCATACCTGCGGCTGACAGTAGTATTTAATAACGAATGTCTTAATGTCGGGACCTTCCTGTAATGTGAATGTGAATATTATTATAGGCTGCTAGCGCTGAAAATGGGATAAGCACTGGCTGCTAGAGATGAGCCAAAGCTGCTAGAGCTGAGGAGGGAATGAGTATAGGCTGCTAGAGCTGAGAAGGAGATGAGTATAGGCTGCTAGAGCTGAGAAGGAGATGAGTATAGGCTGCTAGAGCTGAGAAGGAGATGAGTATAGGCTGCTAGAGCTGAGAAGGGGATGAGTATAGGCTGCTAGAGAGCTGAGATGAGTATAGGCTGCTAGAGCTGAGAAGGAGATGAGTATAGGCTGCTAGAGATGAGAAGGGGATGAGTATAGGCTGCTAGAGCTGAGAATGGGATGAGTGTAGGCTGCTAGAGCTGAGAAGGAGATGAGTATAGACTGCTAGAGCTGAGAAGGAGATGAGTATAGGCTGCTAGAGCTGAGAAGGAGATGAGTATAGGCTGCTAGAGCTGAGAAGGAGATGAGTATAGACTGCTAGAGCTGAGAAGGAGATGAGTATAGGCTGCTAGAGCTGAGAAGGGGATGAATATAGGCCGCTAGAGCTGAGAAGGGAATGAGTATTGGCTGCTAGAGCTGAGAAGGGAATGAGTATTGGCTGCTAGAGCTGAGAAGGGAATGAGTATTGGCTGCTAGAGCTGAGGAGGGAATGAGAATAGGCCGCTAGAGCTGAGAAGGGAATGAGTATTGGCTTCTAGAGCTGAGAAGGGAATGAGTATTGGCTGCTAGAGCTGAGAAGGAGATAAGTATAGGCCGCTAGAGCTGAGAAGGGAATGAATATTGGCTGCTAGAGCTGAGAAGGGAATGAGTATTGGCTGCTAGAGCTGAGAAGGGAATGAGTATAGACTGCTAGAGCTGAGAAGGGAATGAGTATTGGCTGCTAGAGCTGAGAAGGAGATAAGTATAGGCCGCTAGAGCTGAGAAGGGAATGAGTATTGGCTGCTAGAGCTGAGGAGGGAATGAGTATAGGCCGCTAGAGCTGAGAAGGGAATGAGTATTGGCCGCTAGAGCTGAGAAGGGAATGAGTATTGGCTGCTAGAGCTGAGAAGGGGATGACTATAGGCTGCTAGAGCTGAGGAGATGAGTATTGGCTGCTAGAGCTGAGGAGATAAGCATAGACTGCTAGAACTGAGAATAGGATGAGTATAGGCTGCTAGAACTGAGAAGGGGATGAGTATAGGTTACTGGAGCTGGGATGAGTATAGGTTACTGGAGCTGGGATGAGTATAGGCTGCTAGAGCTGAGAATAAGATGAGTATATGCAACCAGAGAGAATATTGGGATGAGTATAGGTTGCTAGAACTGAGAATGATGTGAGAGAAGGCTGCTAGAGAAGGAGATGAGTACAGGCTGCTAGGAATGAGAACGGGGTGGTGAGGACTGTTTTATTCAATATATGAGCTGTAGACAAGACTTGTGGCAGGCAAGCGACACGACAGATTTGTATAGTTGTGTTGGCACCGTATGATTGAGTGTTGTAGACTTAGGGGGCGGCAGTTTGATATTCCTATGGGCGGCTGGCATGTTTTTAAATAGAATAATTTCATTGCATGTCTTGCAGAGGTGACCGACAAATATCCCACCACTTACAAAAATGAAAACTGACACCACCTATGACGTCGTATAACACCATAGGGGTTGTCAATAACTGACATCCCGTCACGTGATGGCTGGGTTCAGATTTCAGTTTAACGAGTTGTGGTCAATAAATACAATGTGACATTGTCTCCAGGCAACAGAAACAAAGTTATCCGAGTATTGTTACAGGGATGGTATAACAAGCATTATACTTACATTCGCTGAATAATTCGCACAACTAGGAAACCCTAACCCCTAGGGCGGCACATGAATACACCCTTGCTTCTTGCCCTTCTACCCTCGCTGTGAAGTCGAAAAATCTCCCCTACACGTCACGGTTTTTAATTCTTCGTGATGTTCTTTAATCTGGGATATCATTAGGTAAATTATAATTACTGAAAACCTCTGAGAAATAGGCACATCGTAAATATCGCAACTGCTGATACCTTACAAAATCACAAAATCATTTCGTGAATGTTTTGAAACCTAGCTATGGAAGATTTACGGTTATCTGTGTTATCATTCACTAATGATCATTCTGAAACGTCGTCAATAACCCCAAAATCGTTTACCATATCTCAGAAAATACACAAAAATAGGATCGACGAAGTGAACTTTCCGCCATATTGGAAAGTGTTTACAAATATCATGTTTCGGTGCATCACATGTTTTTTCAAACTCAGTTGCGACAAATGTATCCCTGATGCCCTTATACATTTTAGAATCAGATGACAAATTGTCTTTGTCCCTAATACCAGATCTAGATGAAACAAAGCGAAATAAATGGGTTTTGAAAACAAACGCTGTACTCTGGTATCAAGCAGTTTACATAAAGTTGTCGCACAGTATTTTATATCTTCACAATTAAAGGTGTTTTTTATTAAACATGACAACAATTCTTATATTTGCAATTAATGTTTCACCCTCGGGTATCGAATTCAACACGATTCACTTCCAAAGACACTTGCCTTCAAATACAAGTACAGGCGACTATGTTTGTTGTAAGAGGCGACTAACGGGATCGGCTGCATGGGCGGATACAGACGGGGGGTGCGGGGGTGCGCACCCCCACCTTTTTATTTCGAAAAAAATCTTTATTTCTGTATACATTACCACCAAAGACAATAAATAGATCTTAATTGTGCACCCAATTCACACACATAGTTCAGAACTTATAAAAATGTGCGTTAAAGAAAGTACCACATTACGACATGATTTTCTCAAAAATAAAAATAACACGCTGAGCTATAACTAAAAAAGCGTTCAAAAAGCTTTGCGTAATATTCCAAGGGAGGTAACTCATTGTAAGCAGCTACATTAAATTGGGAGTTATCTGTCTAAGGAAATCTATTGCCACACTCATGACCAACCCGGGAAAGAAGAAAAGTCCGACAGTATTCCATTCGTGACCACTCGTATCATTCCGGGGAAAGTATTGCTGCTAACGGAAAACGGCGTGCGGTGCCGAATACCAGAACGGATCGACCTTTGATGACGATTGGAACTGTTCATTGTCCGGCGATACATATCACACCCGTCTTGGAGGCAGCCCTCATTCACCATGTGCGTGCCGGATTGTTAGCTGCAGGTATCGTGTGTCGTGGTTATTTCCAGTTCCATCGACCCTAGCCGAGAGCCGCGATGGGGTCCGACTGTCAAGACGACGCGACAGTCTCAATGTTGGACGTCCCCATAGCGGATCTCGGCTGCATCGACACGGTCAGGGTGTGGCGCCAGTATACACAATATCAGTCTTCCGACAATTGGCGGATACCGGTATACGTACAGGAAATGGTTTAGCATTGCGCCCTCTCATTGAAGTCTTGAGTTTCTTCTAGTTTCTTATTTCGACAGTTATGGTTAGGGAATTTATATTTTACTGTCGCTTCACTCAATATGAGAAAGTCGTTGGCTAGCTTCACGTAAACAAGGACATATAATAGATTTACTGGACGCGAAATCCTACAACCATTGAAAACAGATGCGAATCAAATACAGAGTGCATCCACAGTGACAGAGAAATTGCGCATGCTTTGAAATATGTAGGCATGTTTGTGCTACTATTTCATAATTTGGTACCACTTAAAATTAATTTTATTAAAAAATCACGTCAAATGTGTACTGCAGAGATTACATTAACACAAGATTCATAAATAAGCCAGACCTACCTCAACAACTTTGTTTCAGAAAGTGATAAGATGCAGCTTTTATATTGTCTAAAATAACCTAAAATAATTATAACCCGCCATTACCCGGTGTAGTATATATCAATTCGAAAGTGATGTCACCATCTGCCCTTTCACATAACTGAAATTAGCACAGGAGTTTGCTCGCTTGTTAGAGTAATATGATTGGCCGACTATCTTTAGTGTAGGCTCATGTCATTCGATTTGAGAGGGACAAGGAAACTGAAGAGCGAATTGGTCAAGGGTGATAATACTATTATAATAGTGATGATGATGATAATGATATCATGAACCGGGTACTCGTGAATGGTTCATTCCTGGTGTTCTCACTAAAATACTTATTTATTATTTTCAGAAGCAGTGTGGAATTCGAGTGATAACTTCATGACCATTCGATGCAATGGACGTCTCTTCACGCATAGGGGTTATCTTGATTGATCTCCAGAAGGCTTTCACCATAGGGCAGTGGATGCAAGCAATTGGACCAGGTGACGTCACACGCATCTCCCAAGTGTTCTCTCGGTCGGCTCACATCGTGAAGCATCTCTCTGACGATGTCCCGCTTCTGTTAACACGCTGTCTTTTCGGCCGGGAACATGACTTCGAGTTTGACTCTGAGGTCTCAACCAGTCTTGAACACAAACACTACACAGAGATCATTAAACCTAACACTAGAATCCTAGATTTTGATCCAGTCGGTGTTAAAGCTTGGATTCAGAGAATCCGGGAAGAAAATATTAAAACAGTTTTGATTGGTGGGTGCACGACAACCAGTTGCGTCAGACAGAGCTCCATACAACTGCAACAGCACTTCGGCCAGAAAGGTGACCTTCAGGTCGTAGTTGACCTGAGTATGTGTGGAGCTCGCGACAGCAACTATTTGAAGCGATGCGCTGTTTGTATGGAAAAGTACATGGGTGGTTATGATGTTCGTTGCAAGGGGTGTGAGGAGTCTGGGGTGATTCTGACGTCACCGGTGGACAAGGCCGTGGAAGATATGACGCAAGCAGGTGTCACTGTTGTAGAACAATTTGATTGGTCGAGATTTCTGACAGAAAAATAAATCGTGTGTGTAGACGTGATATGTTTGAATTGTTATCAGAATTTATATAAAAATAACGGTAACAGAAAACAATACCATTCTTACTGCAAATTTGACCGTATAAAGCGTACAGTCTGACTAGTGCATGTCTCCGCATGTTAGAATTTGTCTTCAGCAACCTATGCTTGTCGTAATTTTAAGGCGACTATGCTTGTCGTAAGAGGCGACTATCGGATCGGGTGGTCAGGTTCGCGGACTTGGTTGATGCGTGTCATTGTATCCGAGCTGCGTAGTTTGCTGCTCCTGTGTCACTGGATTGTCTGGTCTAGACTCCATTATTTATAACTGGACTATTGCTGAGCGTAAAACATTTTGTTTTGTGTGTTTGTTTGTTGTTTAACGCCGCACTCAGCAATATTCCAGCTATATGACGGCGGTCTTTAAAATAATCGAGTCTGGACCAGACAATCCGGTGATTGACATCATAAGCATCGATCTACGCAATTGGGATCGATGACATGCGTCAACCAAGTCAGCAAGCCTGACCACCCGATCCCGTTGGTCGCCTTTTACGACAAGCATAGTCGCCTTTTACGGCAAGTATTCTACCCCGGAATCTTCAGGGTAACAGAGCTACAGATAAGCTGCGTATTTGCGTAAAATACCCCCCCTCACTCATCAGACAGATGTCTCCCACTCCCACTCACACACCAGACAGATGTCTCTCACTCCCTCACACTCAACAGACAGATGTCTCACATCTCTGATTATGATGAGAGTTGTTAAACAACATTCATTGAGGTGAAGTGCCAATTATAGTCTATAACAGTTGTACATGTATGCTAAGAATCACGTGCGAATAAAACGCAAATTTGAATTTGAACAACTATTCCTGAAATATGATTAGGTATAGGGTTAAGTAAACACTCATTCTAAATGGGAACCACGAGAATTAAAGGGACTCTCAAGCTGACGTTCCTACAGCTGAAAGGGCTTAGTATAGGCTGCTGGAGTTTAAAAGGCGATGGGGCTGAAATGTTGACCATATTCGCCGGGTGTGCGAATATATTAAAACCGCACAGAGAACGAACTCAATGAGACTTTAAGCTTGGGCCGCCTCCGTTGTCTAGTGGTAGAGCGTCCTCCCGAAGAGCGGAAGGTCCGGGATTCGGTCCCGCTGACGCTTGCCGTAAAAGGCGATTTTGCTTGTCGTTAGAGGCGACTAACGGGATCAGGTGGTCAGCCTCGATGACTTGGTCGGTGCATGTCATCGTATCCCAATTGCGTTGATCGATGCTCATGTTGTCAATGTTGATAAGTCTCCTGTATTGCCACTCCTGATTTCTGTGGCTGAAATATACTTGGCGTCAATATTATACCGTAAACATGAATAGAACGAACGTCAAGTGACTTTGGAAATTAGTTTGTCATATCCGTAGTTCCCTATCCGTTACTCGGTGACTCACACACACACACACACTCCACACGCCCATATATATATATAGCCTGTGAAATATTTTATTAAATACATTTTCCCTGCATGATGCTGATTTTGTTTCATAATACGTACGCACGCACGCACGCACACACGTGTATTCCAGCCATGGCACAGAGCAAGGCAACACCAGACATGTGTCAATTGTTTTTTTACGTTTCCCCCGATATGTAGTGGAGTGGAACTTTCATTTTCACTTTCCACACCAGTCCAAATTCTCAGAATATGTCTCTATCTGGGAGGAGTTTGGTTTGTAATAAAACGGTCAGCAGATCACTAAGGCCATCCGTGTTGTGACAGTGTGTGTTTCTCAACTCCAACCTCCAACCTGTGGTCAGCAGACATTCCAGAGTCCCTGGCCCACTGAGGAGCTTGACCCAAGGCAGTATCTTATAACGATATAAAAAAAAACAAGCATAAAATACTCATATCCCCCGCTGGTATGATATGTCCGGTTGTGTGCAAGGCATGAGCCCTCCGGAAACGGTGGAAGAGCTGAGGCAGGTGTTATTAGATAATTTAATTTCCACATACTCTTTGCGATGTTAAAATGAGTACATTTCTAGGATCTTGACCAATCAGATGTCGGCTTTCTATGACGATGTGACTTCATTATCTACCACCTCGATTCGGACATTCCGATTTCAACAAACTACGAACCAATCAGGACACACGCACGTGCCTTGTGTATTTCAGCTGCTAGTGTCCGCGCAACTATCTTGGATTGATATATACTTATATCAGCTCGATAGTATAATATTTATGCATGCGTGTCAGTTAGTTCATTAATCTTCTGAACATCTTTTTAACAATGCAATATGTACGAGTATTAATGTACCTTTAAGTTGCATGCTTTTTGCATTTGAGAATGTAATAATGGAAAACATACAAATGAATAATTGAAAGAATGAATATAAAAATAATAAAGTTCTATCTAATGAATCTCATTATCCATCTGTTTATTTGTGTCTCCAAAACGTAGCGTCCCAAGGCTATCGTGACTACGCATATTTATATCTATTTTCCACCTAAACCGCCCTGTTTAAAATCTCAAAACATCATACTTGCTTGCACTTTCCACCTAAATGATATTCTGTCGCAATTACCCAATAACGCGGACTTTGGGAATGCCTGTTTTCGTTTTCTGTGTTTCACAGAAAAACTTCAATCAGCTGTAAGTGGCTACAATGTAATGTACTATAAATACATAGTGAAATTTGAGAAATATTTTGTCTTGATGTTCATGGCAATATGTATTTGCTCAGAGCGATCAATAATTGCATTGACCATTCATATGCAAATTAGATGTACGGATTACGTCACATAACGATATCAACATGTTAAAAGAGAATCGCGCCAATAAGCACGTGACAGGTCTTCACATCCTTTTCAGTCAATAAGATACAGAATGCGATTTGTCGTGAACTACAGAAATCGTCAATTATTGATGTGGGTTTTTGTTGTTGTTTGTTTGTTGTTTAACGCCGAAATCAGCAATATTCCAGCTATATGACGGCAGTCTGTGAATAATCCTAGTCTGGATCAGACAATCAAGTGATGACATCACGAGCATCGATCCACGCAATTGGGATGCGATGACATGCATGAACCAAGTCAGCGAGCCTGACCACCGGATCCCGTTAGTCGCCTCCTACGACAAGATCGTCGCCTTTTACAGCAAGCGTGTCCAATAGTTATGATTTCCACGCGTCCGTCAATTATAAAAAAAACCACATCCATTGTAAATCTTCCGGTTACAGTTGGAGAAACTTACATTTATAGTCCACTAGTCCTTATAATGATAATATATAGCAAAACCCCTTAAAAATGGCAAATTTCTACTTGTCCTTATGATACCTTAACTATTGGGCAAATTGGCAAGGACTATCGGACTAGTGCCAATTTCTAAGACTGTGAGGTACTGTTCCCCAGTCATGGTGCGAGAGTCTCCTGGTTGCTATATGCACGAGGCCAGTGGTACAATGACATAATGTTGTAGGAAGATATACATATATTTATTTTAACCTGATGACTTTTCAACACTTTTTAACCTGGTTGTCAATTCTGCTTGATCCTAGAGATGGATTTGGAAAATTCTCATTTTCCTGTTTCGAGCCGAGATCGCGATTCCTCGTGACGAAAACATATGTAGGGGAGGTAAGACTGTCGTACTCGATGTACTCGCGTGCAACTATACGGTTAGAAGTAAACGAAATAGGAAACGTCTTCACCTGAAACTAAGACATCGATAAGACATGGATTGCCGTGGTAAATTACCACGATCACTATTCAATTGGTTGAAAGCATATGTTTTATGAGTATAATTTGTGTTTACTCGCGTCTAGCACTACGCTATGATGTAACCGGAAACGCTGCAGTGTTCTATATTTAGACTTCCAGGACAAGTCCAAGTTTCTTTTCCGGTTAAAAATAATCCTTGTGTTTATTGATGTCACAACATATCAGATGATCACCTTCAAGATACAGTAAGACCATGTCTCACCAGTGGTATGTTTCATGTGTGATTGAATTATAACTGCGGACATCTAAGGGTAATGTGTAGAAAAACACCCCCTGTTTGCTAGTCTAGCAAGCATTGAGCTAAGTCACTCTGAGCGTGCTCATGAATCATACAGTTATAATTGTTTATATGGTTCAGCTGTGTGTAACATATCGGATACTATCAGATAACAACACCGGTCTCACTTGAACAGAACGGTCGGTGATATACTGAGACTAAATTAGGATGAGGTCAATGTCTTATCAGCTGGACCGTATCAAGACTATCAATGTCTGGTGTTCATAACGATATTTACAATTGGATGTCGAGATCGTTCTGTGTAGAAATCTGTGTTGTGTTAGGGTAGATCATCTATATTTCTAGATATGTCTGTCGCGTTTATCGATCTGGTGGTAAGTATTCAGATTCAATGTTTAGGTTGGTTCACTGTATTTGTCAGCAATTTGTTGAGTTGTCAATGGGGTGGCCCTGTCAGACCAGATTATGATGCACATGATTTAGGGTCTCAAGAAGAGCTAGCATGGGGAGTTGAAATATTTGCTGTACACCATACCTGCATCAGTATATACACAGTTTTGTCATGTCCGAAGTGATCAATATAGATCTACTGCTAAAAGAACTTGTCGAATAGTAGGTACAATGGTAGGTATGCAATGGAAGAATCTGTTTTAACTTTTAAGGGGTGTAGAGGTAACAAAAAAACTATATTCATATAACTACGTTTATGACAAACATGCTTATAACAAACTAACAGATATAACAAACTATTTCTTGGTCCCCTCCATGTGCTGTATATTTGCTGTTGATATGCTTATAACAAACAACGTATATAACAATTTAAAAATGAGTGGTCCCTTGTGAGTTTGTTATAACCGTAGTTTACTGTATATGTCTTTATTCCACTTCCACCATGGAGATTCCGGGTCAGACTAGGTCCCCAGCACCATACGCTGGTCGTAAGAGGCGACCAAATAGCATACATTGAGAAACGTCAGAGCGTTTGAGTGCATGGTTGTTCATGAATATCCTCGCTACAACCCATCCTAGTAAACAAAACATAGAAATGCACATCTACTATCGTCGCATTGACATTGTAACATCGCAAAGCATTGCAAGCTCAGATATTAATACAGATATAAATATTAATATTAATCCGCCTTTTGTACCCACCTCGTGGTTTTTCAAAAATAATAAAACCACTCGCAACCGAAAAGCCTCTCCATCTTGTGTCCCAATTGTCAGTGGTCTAAGTGTCCAACAAACCATACTGGCGGTGTTTGAATCTTGATTCGCCCCGATTATATTTCTAGGTTTGTCAGCACCATACCCGTGCTCGTGGGTTTCACCGAAGTGGTAAACAACTGAGACATGCATCATTTCGGCCTTTCCTCCCACATTAAGCTGACACGCCGTGATATAACTGGAATACTGTTTAAAGCGGCGTTAAACCCAACTCACTCACTCGTCACCTTGTTATTATATAGATCAATGCCGTTATACAAATTTGATTATTTCTCGTCTAATGATTGTGATAAATAGAGAATCTCACCCGAGTGTCTTTTGATATCAAATATATCAACACAAGTTGATAAAAGTGGAAAAATTCCGAGGCTTGCGGAGGATTTTTGCCACTTTTATCAACGAGTGTTGATATATTTGATATCAAAAGACCCAAGGGTGAGATTTTATTTATCATCCAACATCATTCTTCCAACTTTTTCAATTTGTAGACAGTAATTAGCAGTGTTTTCAGTCTAAAAAGTACTGCTAAAAGCTTCAGTAGCAGAGCCATTAGTGATGTCATTTGATTGTGACATCATGGTAACCCGTGACGTCACTATGGTCTGCAAAGCATTGTCATGTAATTTCATTGCAGCGATATCTACAGTGTAGTTAACGCTTGATCTCATCCAAGCGATATCTCCTGTGGGAGCCAGTTTTGGATGAGAATAATTATTCAGGGCTTTATCTAGTAATTCCAACCAATTGCCTGTGGCAGGAAAAGAATCTTCCCAAGGCAAGAGAGTTAACTGACTTTAAAAGTCCAGTTTCCACCCTTGCTGAACTAGGCTGGTATTATGGAGTTACATTTTGTCTGGACTAACGAGTCTGTGCATAGTCCAATCAAAATTGTGCGAGGAAATAGAAATCCGGTTCGTAAACTGTCATGCAGATTTCGGTCGATTGCAGGATTTGCAAAGCATGTGTACCCCCAACTCGTTGTCAACAGATATTTTCCTAATGTTTTCATGTTTTTAATCAAGGTACTCACGTGATTTGATGCACTTCGCGATGTAAGACAAGTTTTATCACAGTATAGATCTTGATTATCGTTCAGATCATGTTAATAGGGCGCTGCCATTTTGTTTGAAACAAATGCAAGTAACACGGGAGGTGGAATCTGATTGGTCCATAGGAGAGGCATAGAAGGGACATAATTGGTAATAACCACTGGTGGCACTACGATCGAGCCCAGGAATTCTAGCCTAGTTCGGCAAAGGTGGAAACTGGACATTTTTGGAGTCAGTTAACTGAGATGCAGGAAAAGGGAAAAAACATTTTGTATGGAATGAAGGTTTTTTAAAACTTCTCTTTTTTTTTACAATTCAGAGGTGTTATCATGGTTATATTAATGGGATTTTACCTTACGTTTATGCAATATCATGTTTTTCATGTTTATAGGTTCTGTTATTATACAAGTCTCCTCTACACAGCCACCTCAGTTACATTACAACTTGAATTGGGAAATTTTAATTCCAATTTGTAAATTTAACGGACAATTGCTGCAGACTTAAGGCTGAATAACAGCCCCTGATCAGGTCTTGACAATCCCTGCTATCATGGCTCTGACATTAAGTTTTCACGTTTATCCTTACAGGTAATTCACGGATAGGAAGCATGATGTAACAAGGGTCTAGCTGCTTCATTGGTCCAGGAATCAGAAGACAAGCAGCCCTGCTGGAACCTTGATGGTTCATCGTCTGAAGGGATTGCAGGGTCATACAAACGTCCATTGTTGAATGGCCGTGGCACATTTCAGCATTTCTGCCACAATGGTGACGCATGGGATGAAATCGAACATTTTTGAGGACAAGGTTTTACATGTGTCTGGCAATTCCAGTACCATGACGGCCCCGCAGATGTCCACCCTGGGGTTGAGAAACAACTCCTTTCCTCCTGCAGTAATCTCACAACCTCCCTGCCAGTGGATTCTGTATGCTGATGTAGGCACCTCGGGGTAAGCACATTCTGTAAGGTCTGTTAGTCTTGATCCTGCCAGTGGATTCTGTATGCCGACGTGGGCAACTCTGGGTAAGCACATTCTGTGAGGTCTGTTAGTCTTGATCCTGCAAGTGGATTCTGTATGCTGACGTGGGCAACTCGGGGTAAGCACATTCTGTGAGGTCTGTTAGTCTTGATCCTGCCAGTGGATTCTGTATGCTGACGTGGGCAACTCGGGGTAAGCACATTCTGTGAGGTCTGTTAGTCTTGATCCTGCCAGTGGATTCTGTATGCTGACGTTGGCAACTCTGGGTAAGCACGTTATGTGAGGTCTGTTAGTCTTGATCCTGCCAGTGGATTCTGTATGCCGATGTTGGCAACTCTGGGTAAGCACGTTCTGTTAGGTCTGTTAGTCTTGATCCTGCCAGTGGATTCTCTATGCTAACGTTGGCAACTCTGGGTAAGCACGTTCTGTGAGGTCTGTTAGTCTTGATCCTGCCAGTGGATTCTGTATGCTGACATTGGCAACTCGGGGTAAGCATGTTCTGTGAGGTCTGTTAGTCTTGATCCTGTCAATTGATTCTGTATGGCGACGTGGGCAACTCTGGGTAAGCACGTTCTGTGAGGTCTGTTAGTCTTGATCCTGCCAGTGGATTCTGTATGCTGACGTTGGCAACTCGGGGTAAGCATGTTCTGTGAGGTCTGTTAGTCTTGATCCTGTCAATTGATTCTGTATGGCGACGTGGGCAACTCTGGGTAAGCACGTTCTGTTAGGTCTGTTAGTCTTGATCCTGCCAGTGGATTCTGTATGCTGACGTTGGCAACTCTGGGTAAGCACGTTATGTGAGGTCTGTTAGTCTTGATCCTGCCAGTGGATTCTGTATGCCGATGTTGGCAACTCTGGGTAAGCACGTTCTGTGAGGTCTGTTAGTCTTGATCCTGCCAGTGGATTCTCTATGCTAACGTTGGCAACTCTGGGTAAGCACGTTCTGTGAGGTCTGTTAGTCTTGATCCTGCCAGTGGATTCTGTATGCTGACGTTGGCAACTCGGGGTAAGCATGTTCTGTGAGGTCTGTTAGTCTTGATCCTGTCAATTGATTCTGTATGGCGACGTGGGCAACTCTGGGTAAGCACGTTCTGTGAGGTCTGTTAGTCTTGATCCTGCCAGTGGATTCTGTATGCTGACGTTGGCAACTCTGGGTAAGCACGTTCTGTGAGGTCTGTTAGTCTTGATCCTGCCAGTGGATTCTCTATGCTAACGTTGGCAACTCGGGGTAAGCACGTTCTGTGAGGTCTGTTAGTCTTGATCCTGCCAGTGGATTCTGTATGCTGACGTTGGCAACTCTGGGTAAGCACGTTCTGTGAGGTCTGTTAGTCTTGATCCTGCCAGTGGATTCTCTATGCTAACGTTGGCAACTCGGGGTAAGCACGTTATGTGAGGTCTGTTAGTCTTGATCCTGCCAGTGGATTCTGTATGCTGACGTTGGCAACTCGGTGTAAGCATGTTCTGTGAGGTCTGTTAGTCTTGATCCTGTCAATTGATTCTGTATGGCGACGTGGGCAACTCTGGGTAAGCACGTTCTGTGAGGTCTGTTAGTCTTGATCCTGCCAGTGGATTCTGTATGCCGATGTTGGCAACTCTGGGTAAGCACGTTCTGTGAGGTCTGTTAGTCTTGATCCTGCCAGTGGATTCTGTATGCTAATGTTGGCAACTCTGGGTAAGCATGTTCTGTGAGGTCTGTTAGTCTTGAACCTGTCAGTGGATTCTGTATGCTGACCTTGGCAACTCTGGGTAAGCACGTTCTGTGAGGTCTGTTAGTCTTGATCCTGCCAGTGGATTCTGTATGCTAATGTTGGCAACTCCGGATAAGCACGTTCTGTGAGGTCTGTTAGTCTTGATCCTGTCAGTGGATTCTGTATACTGATGTTGGCAACTCTGGGTAAGCACGTTCTGTGAGGTCTGTTAGTCTTGATCCTGCCAGTGGATTCTTTATGCTGACTTTTGCAACTCGGGGTAAGCACATTCTGTGAGGTCTGTTGACCTTATGACTGGTCACACCAATCATCTGTCTTGTCATGACCCTAATGTAGAAGTCTGTGATCAAAGGGATAAAAGAGTAAAAAAATATTGTGCATTGTTGTCTTATGTATTATCATGATTATGCAAGTATTGTACATTGATTGCCCATTCACCAGTATTGTGCAGGTAGTATTGTGCAGGCAGTATTGTGCAGGCAGTATTGTGGTATGATGTGTACATGGTGGTCTGTATTGCCGTGTCGACAGAGTGCGGATCTGGGATCTCATCATCCTCATCCCCAATGCTCTGTTTCTGATGTTCCTGCTGTGGCGTCTCAAGTCCACAGTCTCCAAGCTCCGGACCAACACAAGCCCCATCTTCATGGCATTCTATTTCCTTGTGAGTATCAGTCAACGATAACATGATGTCTATGTAGAGGCCATAACATTCCTGACTTGCCTGAAAGGATTCGAACCACGGACCTTCAGATCTGAGGTCGGACACCTTGTCCACATGACCAAGGGAGGTAACCCTGTCAGTAAGCTGCAGACTCCCTGGCCACATTGTAGGGCGCTGAGACTTATTGTGATCTGAACTTGGTCAGCCCCATGTTGGGTGCCAATGTAGTGGCTATGGAATTGCTATGGGATATTAACCACATGCTTTCTGATCTGAGCTTAGGCCCCTTGTCGACCTGCAACCCATACTTGCCGTAAAAGGCGATTATGCTTGTCATAAGAGGCGACTATCGGGAGGTCAGACTCACTGACTTGGTTGATGCATGTCATCGATCCCAACTGCGTGATGTCAAACACTGGATTGTCTTGTCCAGACTCGATTATTTACAGACCGCCTTCATTTAACTGGAATATTGCTGAGTGCGGCTTTAAACAAGAAACAAACAAAACAAACAAACACCGATGACTTGTTCAAGGGCTTCGGTCCTGCCAAACACTGAAGCACATGTAACACATGTGGTGTCTCCTGAGGCAAGTGACTTTGTTCCAAATGTGCCTCTGTTCACCCAGAACAGGTAGGATGAGATGGCCAAGTGGTTGTTAACCTTCTAGCATCTAACAGGCAGCTTTGGTTGTGTACTCCCCAGGGAGCTGAGAATGATTGTTGAGTGCACACTGATCCAGTGAGTAATAATAGCGCTTTGAGTATACCCCGGGTGGTGTGAAATATTATTCTTCTTCTTCTTCTTCTTCTTCTTCTTCTTCTTCTTCTTCTCCTTTCAACTGTTAATAAACCTCTCACGATGTGTCATGTTGTGTGCAGGTGTTTCTGGTGGCGGTGATCAGCGTCCTGCGTTGTGTCGTATCCATGACGGTCAATGCCTCAGTCCTGGCTGGAGATATAGCTGACAAGGTGGGTGTGTCTTTGCATTGTGCATGCCACTGTAGATTTACCATGTTTACAAGAACTGTACTGACAACGTGTACACAAAGTTGGGGCATGAGGTTACAGTTGTCTTAGGTTCCGGTATCGTGGGCACCATACCCGTGCTCGTGGACATCACCAAAGCGGTAACCATCTCATATTTGTATCACTTTGGGCTTTCCTCCCACATCAATCTGACAAGTCGTTATCAGACTGAATTACTGTTCAATAAGACATTAAACCAACTTCACTCTAAGATACTGGAATTTGCTTAGCAGAGTTGCATCCTTTACATGTACCAGGATGCAATGACTGAGGGTTCGAATCTTGAGGCTATGTGCTTGTGGTAAAAGACTAAGACCTGCATGGCAAGGCATTGTACAACATTGAGGGTTCCTGGGCCCTTGAGGTTTTCTGCAATGGTATTTGGATCTGAGGACATCCCGTATCTTCAACTTGAACATTGTGGTTATGACAAGGGCACCTTGAATTTCATTTTTCAAACATTGCAAGGGTGTTAGAAGCCACTAGGGCTGGCGATCGATACAGATCATAGAGATCGATAATCACCTAGCATATTTTCTTGAGTATAGTGCGCACCCGAGTATAATGTGCACCCCCCTCTTGCGGATTCAGTACTTTGGAAAAAAAATAATTTGAATATTATGCACAGAAAAAAATTACACCGTACCCCTTTAGCGAATTCCGATCAACGAACGGGTGATGAGAAACTTGGTCAGTACAAATTTGAAAACAGGATTAATCACATGCTTGGATTACCTCATTCTCATTAAAAACAGATACAAGTTCTCGCTATCGCCGAGGACACCCCGTTACAGGTCACAACAGAACAACCTTTCACGAACTATGACCGACCAATGAAATGCCTAACAGGAAGTCAACGTTAGTCACTAAAAAAACAGCTTTCTCAAGCTTTGCGGCACCAGTTTCAAACTGGCGACTTCCATTCCAGACACACACCATGTACTCTCTCACACACATATACTGAGGCCAGCCATTTTCTATTTTTCAATTCATGTGCCCGGCGCCCCTACTGGCAGCTGGTCCGAGGAATAAATTAAACATAAAAATATTTATTTCTATTATGTCTCCCACGAGTAATATAGACCCTCTTATACATAATAAAAGGTTATATATAAATTCCATGTCTACATCATGTCTGATTCAAGAAGCCAGCTGCAACTCAACGACATAATGACAATCAGTCAGTCAGTCAGTCAGTCAGTCAGTCAGTCAGTCAGTCAGTCAGTCAGTCAGTCAGTCAGTCAGTCAGTCAGTCAGTCAGTCAGTCAGTCAGTCAGTCAATCAATCATATGCGGTTTTGTTGAAACAATGTCATTAATCATGTTAATATATGAATGGTTCTTTGTTGAGAGTCACTGTGTAACAGAAGACAACCTTGACAGCTGACGTATTATGTCCCCATCAGGGTAGATTTCATGAGGCAATTTTAAACTCTGATGTACACATTGATCATTGCCATGTCTCTATCTTTGATGGGATCATCTACCCAACTATAAAAGTTGTATGTCGTTGCCCGTCAGCATGGATGCCCAGCAATCATCGTCTGTCTGGTCCAGCATTTTCCAAACTTGACCTCTACTGATGACCTTCACATGCAGATGACCTTGATATGGCTTGAATAACCATGGTAACCTCTGTTGTAGGTGTTGTGGCTGATCCTGAGGTTCTTCCTCTTGGCTACTGAGCTGTCCGTCGTCACCTTCGGTCTTGCATTTGGTGAGTACAGCAATCCTTTCAGATCAGTGTTCGAAATAATTTTTAAAACCCAACAAGACACCCAGGTTCTTCATATACACATGTATTCATCAGCCAAACAATATACCTCCTGCACCCATAACTGCCAGCCTAAAGCAAACCAAGATGGCTGCCGTAAAGTCATTCCCAAAACATTGAGGGCAGTTTCATATTCGCGGGGAAGTTTCGTATCCACATTAACAGACAGTTGGGCAGGTGACCCATAAGTGTTGCTGCCAATCTTCAAAGTTACCAGCCCACATTCAGGAATTATGAGTATTGAAAAATTGCAAAAAACGAGAGACAAATCACGTCTTGATTCCGTTGAAATAATGCAAACAATTACTTGAAAATGTACAAGAATTTATGATAAAAGTGAATACGTAAATAGTCTTAAAGTCTGCCAGACAAGTGGGCAGGTGGAGGAAATTTTCCACGGCCAGGAAGGCAAGCAGGCGGGCGGGCGGGCGGGCAGGCAGGCAGTTATTTCGGACACTGTTTCAGATACTGTAACTACCCTGAATATTTCCACGGTCAGGCGGGCAGGCGGGCAGGCAGGCAGACGGGAAGTTATTTCGGACACTGTTTCAGATACTGTAACTACCCTGAATATTTCCACGGTCAGGCGGGCAGGCGGGCGGGCAGGCAGGCAGACGGGATGTTATTTCGGACACTGTTTCAGATACTGTTACTACCCTGGCGATCTAGCCAGCAAAGGGGGTGTTTGAGAAACTGGATCGGGTGTTTTTAGGAACATTGGGTTTAATTGCAAATTATTCTGACAGGTAAAACTGTTTCTGTTGTCTTATCTTGTTTCTGCAATACTGTGGTTAAACATCACCGAAAATCCTTGATTACTAGAAAACACAGATGAGTAACTACCTCTAACTGGACACTGATAGCTCTGTCAGTTTATTACCGCTGAAAGAGAGTCAACTGTAAAGTGATATCTTTCGTTTCTATGACAACAAAAATGTTGAATATTTATGAGATAAACATACTGTGTTTTCAGTGTAGAGCTAGGTTGATGGTAGAATGAATTGAATAGGAACAGAACTTGTAGTGCTGGTTCAAGGTGGCCAATCTCAGCGGCTGTCTTAGAATGACCAATCACAGTGGCTGTCTTAGATTGACCAATCAAAATGGCTCTCTAAGATTGACCAAACACAGTGGCTGTCTTAGATTGATTAATCACAGCAGCTTTCTTAGAATGACCAATCACAGCGGCTGTCTTAGATCTACCAATTACAGCATCTGTCTTAGAATGACCAATCACAGCGGCTGTTAGAATGACCACTAACTATGTGATCTCCTCCTCCAGGCCATCTAGACAGTCATACAAGCATCCGCCGTGTGCTGGTCGTCACCTTCGCCATCGCTCTTGCCTACTCCTGTACACAGGTAAGAATATTGTCTGTCTCCTTCACCATCACTCTTGCCTTCTCCTGTACACAGGTGAGAATATTGTCTGTCTCCTTCACCATCGTTCTTGCCTTCTCCTGTACACAGGTGAGAATGTCACCTTCGCCATCACTCTTGCCTACTCCTGTACACAGGTGAGAATATTGTCTGTCTCCTTCACCATCGTTCTTGCCTTCTCCTGTACACAGGTGAGAATATCGTCTGTCTCCTTCACCATCGCTCTTGCCTACTCCTGTACACAGGTGAGAATATTGTCTGTCTCCTTCACCATCACTCTTGCCTACTCCTGTACACAGGTGAGAATATCGTCTGTCTCCTTCACCATCGCTCTTGCCTACTCCTGTACACAGGTGAGAATATCGTCTGTCTCCTTCACCATCGCTCTTGCCTACTCCTGTACACAGGTGAGAATATTGTCTGTCTCCTTCACCATGGTCTTGCCTACTCCTGTACACAGGTGAGAATATTGTCTGTCTCCTTCACCATCACTCTTGCCTACTCCTGTACACAGGTGAGAATATTGTCTGTCTCCTTCGCCATCACTCTTGCCTACTCCTGTACACAGGTGAGAATATTGTCTGTCTCCTTCACCATCACTCTTGCCTACTCCTGTACACAGGTGAGAATATTGTCTGTCTCCTTCACCATCACTCTTGCCTACTCCTGTACACAGGTGAGAATATTGTCTGTCTTCTTCACCATCGCTCTTGCCTACTCCTGTACACAGGTGAGAATGTCTCCTTCGCCATCACTCTTGCCTACTCCTGTACACAGGTGAGAATATTGTCTGTCTCCTTCACCATCACTCTTGCCTACTCCTGTACACAGGTGAGAATATCGTCTGTCTCCTTCACCATCACTCTTGCCTACTCCTGTACACAGGTGAGAATATTGTCTGTCTCCTTCACCATCACTCTTGCCTACTCCTGTACACAGGTGAGAATGTCACCTTCACCATCACTCTTGCCTACTCCTGTACACAGGTGAGAATATTGTCTGTCTCCTTCACCATCACTCTTGCCTACTCCTGTACACAGGTGAGAATATTGTCTGTCTCCTTCACCATCGCTCTTGCCTACTCCTGTACACAGGTGAGAATATTGTCTGTCTCCTTCACCATCACTCTTGCCTACTCCTGTACACAGGTGAGAATATTGTCTGTCTCCTTCACCATCGCTCTTGCCTACTCCTGTACACAGGTGAGAATGTCACCTTCGCCATCACTCTTGCCTACTCCTGTACACAGGTGAGAATATTGTCTGTCTCCTTCACCATCGCTCTTGCCTACTCCTGTACACAGGTGAGAATATTGTCTGTCTTCTTCACCATCGCTCTTGCCTACTCCTGTACACAGGTGAGAATATTGTCTGTCTTCTTCACCATCGCTCTTGCCTTCTCCTGTACACAGGTGAGAATATTGTCTGTCTCCTTCACCATCACTCTTGCCTACTCCTGTACACAGGTGAGAACATTGTCTGTCTCCTTCACCATGGTCTTTTTCTTGTCTTCTTCACAGGTCACAATTTACATTTTGTCTGGTGTGTACATTCTATTATTTCAGTAATATTTTAGAAATGTTACACAATTGTTAGATACAATGGTTTGAAGTGCCCAAACTTCATGCCATCTTTGTTCTTGTATTGTACATGTTTCAAGCCGTGACATCAGGGTTTTGCCATCAGTTAGAAAAGTGGAACCACCAATAATTATTTCAAGGGTCCTTGCAGGCAATGTGAGGGTCCTTGCAGGCAATGTGATGGTCCTTGCAGGCAATGTGATGGTCCTTGCAGGCAATGTGAGGGTCCTTGCAGGCAATGTGATGGTCCTTGCAGGCAATGTGAGGGTCCTTGCAGGCAATGTGATGGTCCTTGCAGGCAATGTGATGGTCCTTGCAGGCAATGTGAGGGTCCTTGCAGGCAATGTGATGGTCCTTGCAGGCAATGTGATGGTCCTTGCAGGCAATGTGAGGGTCCTTGCAGGCAATGTGAGGGTCCTGTAAAGTAATGAAATGGTGTGAGTACTGTACATTTAGATAATTACTTCAGAGCCTGGAATGAATCAATGATCGTTGACAGTAGTCAGGACTGATGGATGAAATGACAGACACTCATCACAGACACTGCTCTTGATGTGCTGTAGGTACATTGAATATTATTATGTATCCCTTGGGACACTGTATTTTTGTGTTCTGCATCCATTCTCTTCATTTGTGCGTAAAACCCTGTGACATCTCTACCTTTCTGCCGCAGGGGACACTGGAGTTTGTTCGCCCGGACCCCAAGTTCCATGTGGAGTCCGCTGCCAATGAGACAGAGAACTTTGACATCTTTGCACATGGCGGCATGATCTTCTGGTTCTCAAGTTCCCTCTTCTTCTCAATTGTAAGTAAATCATCATCAAAGGTCAAAAGTTCAAGGCCATGTTCAAGGTCAAAAGGTCATTGTCAGTAATTTAGTTTACTGTGATTAATAATTACTCTGGAAAATGCAACCAGTCTTCATATGAGATATTTTAAATTATTAATGGAAACATCGCATGAAAATACTCATGAAAATTTTACTATCGGTACCAGACTGCCTTTGAATGGCAAGGAACTTTATTATCCAAAACTGGCTCCCACAGGAGATATGGCTTGGGTGAGATCAAGCGATATCCACATTGTAGATATCGCTGCAATGAAATTGCATCACAATGCTTTGCAGACCATTGTGACGTCATTGGTTACCATGATGTCACAATCAAATGACATCATTAATGGCTCTGCTACTGAAGCTGTTGGCAGTACTTTCTACACTTAAAACGATGCTTATTACTGTCTACAAACTGAAAAAGTTGGAAGAATGATGTTGGATGATAAATACATTTCACCCTCGTGTCTTTTGAGACCAATATTCTCTATCTATTGGGAATGATGTTTGTCAGTGAATGTTACATCATTGAATATAGAAACTTATTACAAGATCTATAGTTATTGTAACTCATAAATTTGAATCATATTTGGTTAAGTTTATGGTTTAAGAATCTGTTTCAGATAAAGAATCTTCTATGGCTGTCCTTATGATCATTTCCATTGCACATATAGCTCTGTGAGGTGAAGGACATTCGTGTCCCAGCTGTGAGAGTGTGTGACCGTTGCTTGTATCATTCATTGCCGTCTTTCACTAGTTACTTCCTGTTTCAGGTGTATAGTGTTATATTTATCCTTCCGTGGACGAACCTGAACACCAAGCTCTCGCTGCCTTGTAAGTAAACGGAGAGAGACATTATGCCATACTAGTGTCTCCTCTAGGGGACTTCATGTTGTAATAACCTGATCTATGCTGTTCATAGAGGTGCCTTGATGTACTGACTGGTCATGGAGGCCTCTTGATGTATTGACTGGTGATAGAGGCGACTTGATGTATTGAGTGGGGATAGAGGCGACTTGATGTATTGACTGGTGATAGAGGTGTCTTGATGTATTGAGTGGGGATAGAGGTGTCTTGATGTATTGACTGGTCATAGAGGCGACTTGATGTATTGAGTGGGGATAGAGGTGACTTGATGTATTGAGTGGGGATAGAGGTGACTTGATGTATTGACTGGTCATAGAGGTGACTTGATGTACTGACTGGTGATAGAGGTGACTTGATGTATTGACTGGTCATAGAGGCGACTTGATGTATTGACTGGTCATAGAGGCGACTTGATGTATTGAGTGGGGATAGAGGTGACTTGATGTATTGAGTGGGGATAGAGGTGACTTGATGTACTGACTGGTGATAGAGGTGACTTGATGTATTGACTGGTCATAGAGGCGACTTGATGTATTGACTGGTCATAGAGGCGACTTGATGTATTGAGTGGGGATAGAGGTGACTTGATGTATTGAGTGGGGATAGAGGTGACTTGATGTATTGACTGGTCATAGAGGTGCCTTGATGTACTGACTGGTCATGGAGGTGACTTGATGTATTGACTGGTCATAGAGGTGACTTGATTTATTGACTGGTCATAGAGGTGACTTGATGTATTGACTGGTCATAGAGGTGACTTGATGTATTGACTGGTCATAGAGGTGACTTGATGTATTGACTGGTTATAGAGGTGACTTGATGTATTGACTGTTCACACAGGCGACTTGATGTATTGACTGGTCATAGAGGTGCCTTGATGTACTAACTGGTCATAGAGGTGCCTTGATGTATTGACTGGTCATAGAGGTGACTTGATGTATTGACTGGTTATAGAGGTGACTTGATGTATTGACTGTTCACACAGGCGACTTGATGTATTGACTGGTCATAGAGGTGACTTGATGTACTAACTGGTCATAGAGGTGACTTGATGTATTGACTTGTGTTCCATAAAGTTTCATTACCGGACTACTGTTTCCTGATTGGCTGACAAGACAGTGGGCGGGGCTTGTGGAGCATGACTGTGCTGACAAGACAGTGGGCGGGGCTTGTGGAGCATGACTGTGCTGACAAGACAGTGGGCGGGGCTAGTGGAGCATGACTGTGCTGACAAGACAGTGGGCGGGGCTTGTGGAGCATGACTGTGCTGACAAGACAGTGGGCAGGGCTTGTGGAGCATGATTGGCTGACAAGACAGTGGGCGGGGCTTGTGGAGCATGACTGTGCTGACAAGACAGTGGGCGGGGCTTGTGGAGCATGACTGTGCTGACAAGGCAGTGGGCGGGGCTTGTGGAGCATGACTGTGCTGACAAGACAGTGGGCGGGGCTTGTGGAGCATGACTGTGCTGACAAGACAGTGGGCGGGGCTTGTGGAGCATGACTGTGCTGAATGATGTCACCGATTTCGTATTGTCAGCAGTTTTTTTGTGTTAATGTCCGAAATAAGCAGTCTCAAGATATTATTGTTGTAGTGTGTATTTATAAAAATTGACTTCAATATTCTTTTGCATTTATGGAGGAATAACAGCGTAAAAAATTGGCACTAGTCCTATAGTCCTTGCCAAACTGCCCAATAGTTAAGGTATCATAAGGACAAGTAGAAATTTGCCCTTTAAGAGTTTTGCTATATGTTATTATTAGCAGGACTAGTCGACTAAAGCTGTTATTTTCTATCACTGTATAAACGTAAAATAACGATGTCCTCCCTATAAAAATCTGCACTATACATAAACAAGATTCCTGAGGTAACAATTACCCGACTCCAGGTATGACAAGTGTTGTGTTGTTGTTCCAGCCAAGAAGTCCTTTTACTACTACGCTCTGTTCCTGGCCCTCCTGAACCTGACCCAGGCTGTCGGCAGCGGCCTCATCTACTTCAGCGTGGCCAAGGGCCTGTGGTACGTTCACGGGATAAAACAGGATAAAACAGGATAAAACATGGCAGAGCAGAAAGCTCTCAAGTACTCGAGATCACACATGATGAGTGCAAGGACAGTGTTACTTAAACAATTCTTAGGACTGTTTATCCGGCTTCTAATTATATTCATTTTTTCTCTTAGGGACCAACAGTTTCATTTTCTTTGGCGGTTCGAGAGATTTTACTCATACCTCATCAAAACATAACACTTGTTTTTTCTGAAATGAGCCCAAGATATTTTTTGGACACAACACACTTTTTTCAGGACTGAATGTTTCCTTCTGTGTGACCTTAACCCCTAGTATTTTGTTCCTGTGTTTTCTGTACAAAAACATCTCCAACCACACAGTAGAGAAATGTCTGTAGCTAAGACTCTAGGGAATCAGTAACTGCCTGCATCACTGTGCTGCTCCCTATAAACAGTTTTGATTTTGACTTCCTCTTAAATCCTCAACCCAAATCTTCATCGCTCTTCATATACTTCAGCAAAGCGATCTAACAACGAATAAAAAACTCGTCACTTCCAAAAACACTTGCCTTCAAACAAGAGAGTAAGGGGCGGTCGGGTAGCCTAGTGGTTAAAGCGTTCGCTCGTCATGCCGAAGACCCGGGTTCGATTCCCGAAATGGGTACAATGTGTGAAGCCCATTTCTGGTGTCCTCCTCCGTGATATTGCTGGAATATTGCTAAAAGCGGCGTAAAACCATACTCACTCACTCACTCACTCACTCAAACAAGAGTACTTATATTTTAGACCCAGGAAGATCTGTGGTAGAATAGGTCTTCAGCAACCCATTCTTGCCTTAAAAGGTGACTGTGCTTGTCGTAAGAGGCGACGAACGGAATCAGGTGGTCAGTATGGCTGGTTGATGCATGGTTGATGCACCGTATTCCATTTGCATGGATCGATGCTCATGATGTCAATCACTGGATTGTCTGGTCCAGACTCCATCATTTACAGACCACCATCATATAGCTGGAATATTGCTGAGTGCGACGTTAAACAACAAAGAAACAAACCTATATTTTATATTGTACACCGATATTTTGACCTACTTTGTTGATCTTGCCTGATTCAGCCAGCATGTTTTCCCTGTTTCAGTGTGGTGGATGTGACGACCTACATCTACTTTACTTGTTTTGATCCCCTCGTCTACGGAACGTTTTTGAGGGAGTTCTTCAGGTACTGTTCAGTTAATGGCACTAGTTTGTATCTGCTTGTAATCTTGTCTCCCAAGGACATGTTAAAACAGGGGCAGATAACTCCTTCAACTCGGACACCAGCTTCATAGACTCGAAAACTGTCTTCCGTTTTCCAGGCCATTGTATTTGTATTCTGTGATGATGAAACCATTCGAAAGGGCAGTGGGGTAGCCTAGTGGTTAAAGTGTGCGTGCGCTCGCTCACTCACTCACTCACTCACTCACTCACTCACTCACTCACTCACTCACTCACTCACTCACTCACTCACTCACTCACTCACTGAAACTATTTGACACCATTCACATTTTTGTGAGCCAAATTTGAAATTTGAAATAGGCAGGCAATCAAATAACTCTCATGAGCAAGAGAAATTCTGTGCTAAGTTAGTGATTGGCACGATAGCGATAGAGATGAGACTCCTACGCGAAGCTGTGAAGGGGGATAGGTCCAGGGTGTTGATCTTGACAGAATGAGGTATATTTTCCTTACTGGATAGTCGAGAATGATACAACTTATATACTGGTAATCCAGCCTTCACCTTTCATCCTTCCTGTTGCATCCTTGTTATCATTATTCAGTCGTTGTACACATTTCCCAGCTTCTCATGTGACTTGCCAATCATCGTCCTCAGTGACCTGTCAATACTTTTCCTAAATCTCTCTATAACCTGTCTGTCCTCCTACTGAATCCCTCCCATGGCCTGTCAATCATCTGCCTCAGTTCCTTCCATGGCCTGTCAATCATCCGCCTAAGTTCCTCCCATTACCTGTCAATCATCGTCCTCCAGAACATCTGGTCCATACTTGATTATTTGCAGATCGCCATCCTATGGTTGTAATATTGCTGATAGCAGAATTATACAACGAACAAAACAAACTAACAAAAGATCCGGGTTAGAACTGGTCTTCAGCTACCCATGCTTTCTGTAAAAGGCGACTATGCTTGTTGTGAGAGGCGACTAACGAGATTGGGTGGTCAGACTCACTGACTTCGTTGATGCATGTCATTGTATCTCAATTGTGTTTATCGATGCTCATGATGTCAATCACTGGATTGTCTGATCCAGACTCGATTATTTACAGTACACCATCATATAGCTGGAATATTGCAAAGTGCATTGTTAAACAACAAACGAACGATCAAACAAACAAATTAACAAACAAAACAAACAATCTCAGTCCCTGTGTCAATCATTGTCATTTTAACTTGCAGCATCTCCATCCCAAGCATCCCCTTCTCCTACAAGCACCAGGTGGACGAGATCCCCGACGAGGACACGCTCAGTCTGCCTTACCAGACGCCCTTCGAGCGGGACAAGGACGAGGGCGTGGCCTTCAGCAACAGCTTCGACAGCACCCACTTCAACCGACAGAGTCAAGCCAGCTCCCCCAACAGTTCCGTCAACATAGCACCCCCAAGCCTCTCCCTCAACAGCGACTACTATCAGGCCTCAGCTTAAGGGGAGACAACTGCCGACACACCACTATTCTAGGGCCCTTGATGTGGAGCAGGTGTGAGAGTACCGTCAATATTCTGTTGTAGAGTTCCAGATAGGGAAAGACAACGCTTTATGACATCTATTGTCCTGCTTTTGGTGATGTAGATCGTGTATTTGTGTGGAGCATATGATCTGCAGAGACAAATGTGTCTTAGGAAGACGGAGCCGATAAGGCAACCACTTACATAGTATCACTCAGACATAGCCAACTCATCTTCCTGATGCAGGGGAGTTAACTCACTTTGAAAATCCAGTTTCCACCCTTACTGAACTATGCTGGAATTTCAGAGTTATGTTTTGCCTGAACTAACGTGTCTATGTATAGTCCAAAAAATCGTTAACAAAATCGACATCCAGTTCATAAACTGACCTTCAAATTTCGGTCGATTGCGGGATTTGCAAAGCATGTTTATCGTCAACTCGGCATTGATAGATATTTTCCAAACTTTTTCATGTTTGTAAATAATGTGCTCAAGTGATTTGATGCTCTTCGCGAGGTTAGACCTGTTTTATTACTATCTAGATCTTGATTAACGATTGGAACGTCTTGACTGGGTGCTGCTACTTTGTTTGAAGCAAAAGCAGGTAAAATGATAGGTTGAATCTGATTGGTCAATAGGAGGGAGTCACGAGGGACATGATTTGTAATAGCCACTAGTGGTGCAACGATCGAACCACAAAATTCCAGCCTAGTTCGGCAAGGATGGAAACTGGACTTTTACAGTCAGTTAATTCCCTTGCCTAGGGAAGATGCAGCCAAATGAGCACAAGCCCCTGTATTTGGATGTTGCGGAAGGTTGACCTGAAAGCAGACCGGTATGAAACTGGCACTTGTCTGCATCAGACCGGTAGAAGTGACCTGTCTGCTTCTGTGACATCTCAACATGAGAATTCTTGCCACACTCAGCACTGGGAATACAGGAGAATTGTGAGTTTTCTGTGAATTCTGTGACTTTGTGAATCTGAGACTGCCTGCGAGTAGTCTGTCATTGTGGCTATCTAGTCTGCTGACCCCTTGTTCACTATGCTTCTCACTAGCATTGTTCTGTGTGGAGTGAGGGAGAGTGTGTCGTCCCTCGGCTGGGCAAGATCTGAACAAACAGATGCGGAGACTGGTGAGTCTACTGGCTGAGACTGTCAATCAAATAAAAAACGTGGAATGTCATAATGCCACTGCTTGAACATAATTATTTATTTTGAAGAAATTTTGGAAGAATTTTGTGTGATTTTTGCTATTCTCGGTTTATTTGTTATTTTATGCATGATTGTAATAATTTGATATATGTATTGTGTATTACGGTCCCCAAAATTCCAGTAACCATGGCAGCAAATACCCATCATATTGTTAAAACTTGTAAAAAAAACTTGTCAAGGAAACACTAATTAAGGAAAGTAAAATTTATCTTACTTACTAATATATTAATGTATGTTACCATGGTTACCTGAAATGCTGGATCGTTTTGCTTTATCTGTAAAGAACAAACCCATTCACAGAGAGGATCCTGTTCTGTGTCCTATAGTGAGGTGAGGTGTCTTGGTTTATAGTGAGGTGAGGTGTGTTGGTTCATGGTGAGGTGAAGTGTGTTGGTTTGCTTATTTGAATTGCATATCATAAGACTGATCCAACGAATCAAAACATATTATGATAAGGCGGTTATGTTATGTTATGTTATGTTTTGATTTGTTGGATCACGGCTCCATTGACCCTTATAATTTATAAAAAATAAATTTGAAAAAACCCAATATGTGGTAAATACTCAGTGATGTAAAAACCCACAACACAATGCCAAGTTTGAGTCCTTTTTCGCCAAGTCATAGCTGATTGTGTGCATAATGAAGCTGGAGTTATGTCCCTTGACACATGGACGTTGTTGAAATGTGCTCCTGCAGACAGTGGTGCTAGGCTGTCTGGTGCTCTCACACATATATAAACAGTGTACCTCATGTGGAGTGTGATCATGTATTGCTTTGTAACAGTGACATGTAATAAGTTACTCTATGTTGAAATGAATAACCATGATAACAGTACATCTCCAGAAGGCATATGTGATATTTGTTGTTTCATAATGTACATTTACATTTACATTGTGTATACCGTATTCGACGTAATAATCGCCCGGGGCGCTCTCAAAATTAGAAATAGGGGGCTCTTATTAGAATATTATTTTAGTAAAAAAACAGTTAAAAGATAAATTTCGTGGTGTATGCTGACAGCGTGAAATGTTTATGTACGACAGATATATTTTTCCAGAATTTAATTGCCCATAATCATGATAATTAAGTGTGCATATAACACATGAGTGCGTATTATACGCGAATAAATAAGTCTTGTGTACATTGATCAATCAGAAGGGGTGCTAATTAGGATTGTTCACTGGCCAATATATTAGCAAATATCGCTGTGGGCGCTTATTAGAGCGGGGCGCTTATTACGTCGAATACGGTAATTCTCATGCATTTACCCTGATCAGATGACGAGGCTGTGCCGACTGGCTCGCTGTCAGTCCCTCCTCTGTATTCTTGGCTATTGCATTAACAGACCAGAACAAGAATGTGTTCTTTCATGGAATACTTTTGGTCAATATCAAGATGCCAAAAATAATGTTCTTACGGTTGATTAGAGATATGTTTTATGACATTTTTTATAAGAATGTTTTATTTTATTTTTTATCTTGGAATGGCTGCGAGAACAGGTATTGTTCCATGATAGGTTAAAATGCACATGCAATAAGCTTTATGTTCAGTTTACTTTTTAGAGAACAAAATACAAAAAATCTAAAATTTCTATTTGATATATTTTTGGCCCATCTATTCCATGTACTCAACATGTGGGGCTTCAAGGTCGGAAGTGATATCCCCAGCAACATGTGCTTGCTGTGAGGGGCAGCTACGTGGATTAGGTGGTCAGGCTTGGTGGTGGTGGGGTTGATTGTGTCATCGGTTCCGATTGCGAAGATAGATGCTCATGTCAATCACTGTATTGTCTAGTGGTTGATGCATCACTTGTCATGCTGACGGTTCGATTCCTGACATGGGTACAAGGTGTGAAGCCCATTCCCGGTGTCCCCCGCTGTGATATTGCTGGAATATTGCTGAAAGCAGTGTAAAACCAAACTCACTCAATCACTGGATTGTCTGGTCCAGGCTTGTTCATATACAAACCACCATCATATACATGTAGCTGGAACATTGCTGAATGTGGTTTTAAACAAACAAACAAACTCCATCTAACCACCTGTATTTTTCCGAAAGAAATGAGCAAATCAAGATATACATATTGTCTCTCATCTTGTATAGGACACAGAGACCATTGCATCATGGGTAAGACAAAATATTTAGTTCTACAATCTTTCCTTCAGCTCATTCTTTTCCTCCTTGAACAGGGAAACATTGTCATCCATAACATAAGTACTAGCTGACTAACCACGTTTTATTAACAGTAGTGATTTCTAAGTAAGGTGAGAAGAGTTGCCTCCCTTTACTTAACCTGATTACTCTAAATCTTGGAATTAACCCGTGAGTTAAATGCGAGTGGTCTTTGTTCGCAATAACTAAACTTGCATTTATGTCTCCAAAATGACTATCAACATTAAGATGGCCTCAATGCACACTTTGGATAGCGGATAGGGGTCAGCAGTCGTATTAATTTGGAGACTCATTAATTTCAAGATTTACAGTATTCAAGAATCACTATTATGTAAGTTTCATTTGTTGAACAAATTGGATTGAAAAGTATCATGTTTGTACTGATTTCTAAGTAGGATGAGAAGAGTTGCCTCCCTTTACTTAACCTGACTATCATGGTGATGGTACTCAGGATTCCCCAATGCCTTCTAAAATATGAGCAAAGGAAAAATGTATTTTTAGGCAGAACTTTACCGTTTAATATTAAGAGTTGTGTCAAGTTTACTCGCATCTTACTGAGGCAAGCGTGTCCACTAGCAAATATCAAAGCCTAGTGTCTACCCTTGCCACATCAAGGCCACTTTCCTTGGTTCGACCCTGGCGCCACCTCGCGTAGATCACGAGTTGTGCCCCTTGTAATGAAAACGCGATATCCAATCAGAGAGTTGTTCTTATCTCGTAAAGCTTCACAAAGATGGCGTCTACCTAGTCATCAGATAACAAACCATTCGCGATTTCATCCCTGACACATAAACATAGGCAATTGTTGGGGTGTTTAAAAGGTGGAAAAAATCATTCGTGTCAACAAGGACAGGAAGCGGTAAATCACTTTCATGCGAATGTGTACCAGTCGTGGATATTGATTTTGTGAAACGTTCTCTGATTGGACTATCGATATGTGCGATAGTCCAATCATATTTAGCACAGAAAGTTGGGTTGATGTGGCAAGGGTGGAAACAAGACTTTGATAAAAATGCCAGTGGAGTCTCTTGCCTCTGGAAGATGGTTTACTCGGTGTTTGTACATGGCTGTACAAGGGCTTTGTGTACACACTAAACCCCTTGTCCAGACTGACTAACAGTGCTTGATGGTCAAAAAGAAAGTCACATATCAATTTCAGTTCTTGTCAATCCTGTGTACATCTCTAATGTGTCAGTGAATCTGTGGTAAACATTCACAAGATGCGGGGGAAGATGTTGACCGTTACTTTTGTGTTTGAGTATAACTAGTGTTGAAGCATAATGTTCCAAAGGTCACTGTACAAATAAAGGCACAGGTTTTGTAGTTTCTTTTTGTCCATGGCGTTGTCTTGCCGTCAGACTAGTGCAATTCTGTCAGTTTTATTTTTGTTTTGTCATATATTTTCCTACATGTAAATAAATCCTCCGGTACCTGATGTCAACTGTGCATGCACATTCAAGGAAATAAAGTTGAAATGTGGTTCTAGATGTTTTTGATCAATGTGGTATCTCAATACAGAAACAGAAATTGGAAGGATTCCTCTTTTAACAAGAAACAACATCCGCTAGCTCGCTGGGACAGCCTACGTGGGTAGGGCGTCTCAAAGGTCGCTGAGTGGATCTCCTGGCCGTGTCATACCAAAAGGTGTTCGAAGGTGGTACTTGTTACCCTGCTTGCATCTTCCCAAGGCAAGATAGTTAACTCCCAGTTTTCACCCTTGCCGAACTAGGCTGGAATTCCTGGGCTCGATCGTAGCCCCACCAGTGGTTATTACGAGTTATGTCCCTTCTCCCTAAACCTCTCCTATGGACAAACCAAATTCCACCTCTCGTATCGATCACTTGCATTTGTTTCAAACAAAATGGCGCGGCCCAGTCAAGACAATCTTATCGATAATCAAGATATATATTGTGATAAAACGGGTCTGATTTCGTGAAGTGCATCAAATCACGTGAGCACCTTGATTAAAAAAAACATGAACAGATTTGGAAAATATCTGTTGGCATCGAGTTGGCGATGCACATGTTTTGCAAATCCTGCAATCGACCGAAATCTGCAGTTTACGAACCGGTTTTCGATGTCGTTCCTCGAATTTGATTGGACTATGCATAGACTCGTTAGTACAGCCAAAATGTAACTCCATAATACCAGCCTATTTCGGCAAGGGTGGAACCTGGAGTGTAAAAGTCAGTTAACTCCCTTGACGCTCTGCATGCATCTTCCCGAGACAAGGGAGGTAACTGACCAGTGGAAACTTACAGTCAGTTTACTCCCTTGCCTCGAGAAGATGAATGCATCAGGGGATGCAACAAGCTCACACGCATGCACATGCATGCCCATCGCTATTTAAGTGTAATATTGTTGAAGGCGACGTTAAACCATATTTCCCCTCATGTTAGAACTGAATGAAACACATGATACACAGATACGTGAATTACGAGCCTTTTAAAGTTTATTTAAACTTGGTTTGAAGGGGTCATGGTTGGGCCCAATGTCTGAGGCGCTGTTTCACTCATTCTGTATTACGTCAACCGTGGCGACTGTGTCGGGCGCCACATATGGCCAAACAGTTTACTATAAAAATGACCAAACTTATTGAAAAACGAAAATATCATATCTTTATGTTCTCCGAAAGAAAGGTATATTCCATATATGGTGATAAATTGATTTGTAGATCCTGGTACATATAAATGAGACATGTTTTATGTCTAAACCACATGACATGTTGATATAGACCGTGGGTCTTGCTCCACAGCTGACACCATATCCTGCCAAATGTCGGATGTGTTCTCAGCAATCTCATTAAAATCAGACCTAAGTTCTCGCTGCCGCAAAACAAAGGTCAGAGGACATCCCATTACGGGTCACGTCAGAACGACCTTTCGCGAACTTTGACCGACCACTGAAATGACTACCAAGAAGTCGACATCAGCCAATTAGAAAGCAGCTTTCTCGAGCTTTACGGCACTCGTTTCAACCTGGCGACTTCCATTTCAGACTACGCTTGAAAAATATGTTGACACAGTTTTGAAAACTGAACAAACGAACATTCCCGAATGTCCAATATATGGTTGAGATTGTATGGCAGTGTTTCCCACGTACTGTGCAACGCCTCCGCCGTTCAAACGTATATCCCACGGAAGTGAGAGATAGACGATAAATTTGACGGAATCAGTGGTACGGGCCGTAACTGTCGTTCTGAATAACCCGTGTTAACGTTTTCGAGGTTGCATGATTAGAAAACACATTCCGACTGTCACTTTCATGATCTGTTAAGCGACGCTTTGATTGATCGGATGTAAGGTCGTTCTGACGTGACCCGCAATGGGATGTCCTCAGATCTTTGTTGAACGATAGCGAGAACTACGATCTGATTTTAATGAGATGGTGTTCTTATTACATTAATGGGAAACGTCGACACTTCGGGATTTCCTTCCACATTGGGGGCGCAGGTGGTCCAGTCGTCTAAGGCGACGCAATTCGCTGTGCAGAGTTGCGTCCTTTGGGCACGCCAGAAACCTATGATTGTGGGTTCGAATCCCGGTTCGGCCCGATTATGTTTCGAGGTTTGTCAGCACCATACCCGTGCTCGTGGGTTTCACCGAAGTGGTAAACGTCTTAGGCCTGCATCACTTCTTGCTTTCCACCCACATTCCAAGCTGACACGCCGTGATATAACTGGAATACTGTTAAAAGTGGCGTTAAACCCAACTTTCTCACTCACTCCTTCCACATGAAGCTGAATCTTCGAAATATTGTTCAAAGTGGCGTTAAACCATACTGGATTTGAACTCCAATGTCCTACATCTGTAGTGAGTGAGGGAGT